TCCAGCTAGCTCAGCTTGTCAACTAGACGCCCAGCTTGTTGCAAGAAGCTAAGCTAAGCCGAAACGCCTAGAAACGAGCTGATCGTCAGCTCGTTTTCAAGCCAGCTCGCGGGCTAGCTCCATTGATGATGTCATAATTACCAAAGTTGGTATCTCGTAGGACCGGGAGGTCCCGGGACAGCCGCGACTTCAATTACTTCGAGATGCTTGGCTGCCATGGTATGGCCTGGTAATTCCTGGATGGATGTGTTGACTCCTCACGAGTCATGCCTTGAGCACAGCGGTAATCCTCATAATATCAAAGGCAGCAGTCACCCTTGGCACAGAACAGCCTGGGAATGTGCGCTACAATGCTGCTGGCGAGCAAGATTATAGACTCTCGTGTATCCTGCTTTCTGTCTTAATGGCTTTAGCAGCTGTGTTCGAACCACATCACATATGCAGTCTTCAAGGTAATCCAACACAGTTACTGAACTGTTGAACAATGTGTCGCTCTATTTAGTCGAATAGATAAGCCTACAGGTTCACACTGGATTACTGGTGTTGACTATTTCTGACATGCGTACTCAGTGATTCCGTTGTGGCCTTCAGACATTTTTTGGCAGCTCACACCTCCTCAGGGAGATATGTTGAACTTATGCATACATGGTGTTATGTTCTGTGCATGTATACCATGTTGTTACTACACTAGGAATGATGATGCCCAGTTCGCTGTCGGCGCATGCAATGTCTTGCCATATCTGGAATGTGAGCTTGCAAGTCAAGCTGTGGCTGGGGCCTGGCCAGGGAGTTGGCGCCCAGCTAGCCGGATCTCGGCTTAGCTTGCTCCGGCTTGGTGATCCAGCGCGATCCAGCTCGTCAGCTTAGCTTAGCTTAGCTGGCTTGGCGGCAACACTAGAGTCAGCGTTGTTCACAATGCCGAGGAGTTGCCCCATAACGAATTGTCACGGACGTTGGACAGACGCCCCTTTTTGCCGCCCATTTCCCTCCCCTTGACGCCCACCTTCCATTTTCGGACCATTTCCTTTCTTAGCCCATCCCAGTTTGGACACTGCAGATACGTTCCCACACCCGCATGCTACGTTCCCGTGATCGCCATGCCTTTGCCTTTTCCTTCCCGCCCTTTGTTCTCCCTTTGTCATCTTCACTGCCTCGCTCTCGCGCCTTGTCTTTGGTTGCTAAGCAGCCCTTCTAGTATATAAGGACCCCTTAGGCACTCCCTAGTCCCCATCTCGACCTCTTGGTCATTGGGACTAGGTGAGTGACCATAGCGTTGTATCTCCCTCCGATTGCTAATGTATAACTTGGTCATTGGGACTAGTCTGTCGCTGCCTGCGTGAAGACTAGCTTTCGTAGGTCTCGTGCCTTCGTGCCGACCTCCGCTCTGCCCTCGTCGAGTTTTCTGTCACGTTTATCCCTCTCCCTCTCTCTTTCCCC